TTTTTTTTTTTTTTTTTGCGAGACAGGGTTTCTCTGTAGCTTTGGAGCCTGTCCTGGCACTAGCTCTTGTAGACCAGGCTGGCCTCGAACTCACAGAGATCCGCCTGCCTCTGCCTCCCGAGTGCTGGGATTAAAGGCGTGCGCCACCACCGGCTTGTATTATTAGTAAGTTTTAAGTTGGGATGTATATACTGCTTCTAGACATTAAGATGTCTACAATTTAATTTCAAGTTTCTTTTGTAAATCTTTTGTAGACTTAGTTTGTGTGTGTAGAGTTTCTAGGCAGATGTGCTTTGCTTAGGCATGCTGATTCAAAAGCTTGTGGTGGCAGGTGTCCACAACCCAAAAAGTTGAGACCATGATTGGGTACAATTATTGGGTTTTACACACTCACTGAATCTCTTAGACAACTTGGTAAAAATTCTTAGAAAGTTCTGGCAAGCAAGGGCATCCTTCACGTGTTTTCCCACTGGTTTTATCTAAAACTAAAAGTAAATTCATTTATATTTTTACCCACATTGGTAGCTTCTTATCCTCTTACTGAAACTCAAAATGTTAAGTGTGTTCCAAATTATGTCTTAATTAGTCCTCTGTGTAAAATACAGACATTGTTTTGTGGCCCTCAGTTTGCCTGGTTTTATCTTTGTAGCTCCAGGGGCCTTGTCTAAGTTGACCCGAGGATTGAAAGATGAATCACTGGCTTATATCTATCATTGCCAAAATCATTATTTCTGTCCAATTGGCTTCGAAGCAACCCCTGTCAAAGCTAATAAGGCATTCTGGTAAGCATTTCCATACTTGATAAGGGCACTTAACTAGGAAAATGGGTTGTACAAAGTGTTTGCCGGAATTAAACAGATTCTAGTCTCTTAGAAATTGGGGACTTAGTGTGTTTTGTTCACACTGAGCGTGCATACGTTTTGCAGGATTGAATGCCCTTAGAAGCTTTTGCTCAGTGATTGTGAGAGAAAGTACACACTGAAGTACCAAAGGTGCAGGGCCATTCATGTGTTATCCTCTGTTCCGGGATGTTTGATTACACTGTGAACCCCAAGATTGAAGTATACTGGAAAAAAACGTTGTTTCTAGTTGTGGTGTGGCCCAGCCCGAGCACACACCTTTAATCCAAGAATTTTTGGTTTATTGTAAACAGGGTTAAATAAAAGCATTCCATAGGTCAAGGGGCGGGGCGAGCAATCAGTTGACAGGAAGTAACCATAGAGAGTCAAAGGGGGTCAAGAGGACAGTAGACACAGGAAGCAGAGAGGAGGAACATTGAGTTGGAGGACATTTGTGGGAGACAGTAGGAGAGAGGAGAGGCTCCCGGAGCCATGGCTGAAAAGGAAGGTCATCTGGGTGCTTCCTCTGCCTCTCTGAGCTGGCAGGCTTTGACCCCAGCGTCTGAGTCTATTGAAGAAAACGGGATGACTGAGATTTTGTTGAAAATCACAATCCCCAGTGTCCTCGCCAGTATCTTACACGCTGTGTTCCAAGAACGTGTAACTGACTACATTACAAAACACCTTTTGTATTCATAGTGAAGAACATGGGATTGTCCGGTTTTTTTCTTTCATCACAAGGAAGCTCGGGACCAGTTTCATTGTCTAAACTTCATGGTTATGGTTGCCTCTCCTTGTTGTTAGTCTGGTTTCTGTCTCTTGAACAACAGGTTTTCACACACACACACACACACACACACACACACACACACACGCCACACACGCTCCTGTCTCTTTGAAGGAGACATATTCTAAATAAGGGTGCTGAGTTTGAATGTTGCTCTTTCTCCTTAGCAAGTTCCTTCACGAGGGACCTGAAAGCAGAGATTATGGTTAAGAACAGGTGACACTGGAAGCCAAGGGTGACTCTCTCGCCTCACTGATTTTCTGGTTGAGTCATACTTGGCTTTGTGGGCTTGGTGACTGAGGAGAAGGAAGAGATGTGGTGGACACTGGACGTTATCTCTTCAGTGTGGACCCAGAGTCTGCCTGGAGAACATGACTTGCCTTTAGGATAGAGGGGTTTTTTGTTCTGGAGGACAGGGGTCCGGTCCCAGAAGTCCCACTCATAGGTCCTTGGATGTGGTGCATCAGACAACCTGAGCAGGATGAGTGGAAGCTGGAGGACCCAGGAATACCGCTTGTATGTGAGGAGTGAGCATGACACCATTCTTTCTCTCAACTCCTGAAATAACAAAGGCTGAAATCTAACTCATGGATTTCTTGAATGGCCCAAACCAAAATGCTGGTATTGATTCTACATTAACAAAAAACATCTTTGAGTTTTCATTTGGGGGGTTTGTTTTTTTATCAAGACATATTTGGAACAGCGTACTTCATGGAGTGAAATATGTTTATCAAGCTATGAATGTATTTTCTGTTTAGCAGGGGCCCTCTCTCACTACAGGAAGTAGAGTATTGGATTTTAATTGGAGAGTCAAGTAGAAAACATCCTGCCATTCACTGTAAAAGGTATGTTTTAGCTGCTTTTCTTTCTTTCTTTCATTGGTGTGATATTTCCTTCATTGAAAGCACAGATGAAAATCGTGTAACTAGATTCACGTAGATAAATGGGAACACCTGTGTGGTCACCAGCCAGTCACAGTGTGGCCATGTCACAAGAAAACTGTTCCGTGTTTTCTTTCTTTCTAACCCCACAGCCAACCAGTTCTGCTTCCCATGGCCACAGATGTACTTTTTCTGTTTTGAAATTCTATCCCTTTTTGTCTTGCTTTTCTATTTAAGTAACAAATTAAGAATCCCCCATCCCCGGCTGGACGTGATAGCACACACCTTTAATCCCAGCAGAGACCGGTTACAGCTCGGTAAATTCAAGGCCAGCCTGGACTACGGAGCAAAAATTCCAGGAGAGTCAGCGCCAGCCTGGTCTACAGAGCAAATTCCAGGAGAGGCAGCGCTATCCAGAGAAACCCTTACTTGACTAACAACAAAATGATTCTCTAAAAATATTTAGAATTGGATCATGTCTACTAAAAATGCATATCTGACTAAAATGAAGTCTTTAGGACTGGTGAGATGGCTTGGCAGGCAGAGGTGCTCGCACGCAGGCCTGCTGGTCTGAGTTTGATCCCTGGAATCCACAGGGTGGAAGGAGAGAAGATCCTCATCGTCATCTTCCAAACTCCACACATCCACCCTGGCCTGCGCCTCCCTGGCCCCTCGCTCCTCCTTTGCCCCTCTCCTCCCCTGTCTTCTTTCCCTCTCCCTCCACACCCTCTCTCTATCACCTGTACATACACACAGACTGATAGACTCTCTAGAATCCACGGTTTACGGAGAATGGTCGTCATAATGACATGGGCTCTTACAAACTAACATCAAGGACTGTATCACCACATAAACAGAACTTTAATTTCCTTTAGCCGTGGTTTTGATTTTTCAGTATAAACTCACGCATGTCCTTTAAATAGTTCTTTTCCTATTTTGAATTGATTAAGAAATTTAAATTTCATGTTATTGCTGGTCCTATAGAAAAATCCCTGATTTTCCTATTTACATCTTGATATTCACACCTTTACCAAATTCACTTATTATGTGTAGTTCTTTGAGATTTTTCTCCGCAACCATTTTGTATATTAGTAGAGGCATGTTATTTTTTTTTTTAATTCTTTCAGAAATACAGGCAGACACTTAGTGGCACATTGGTAATGATGCTGCAGCAGAATCATGTGAATCAAGGGGTTCGAGGCCAGCTTGTACAACATAAAATCCCACCCCATGAAAATAAATTGACTTGATTATAATTGAAAGTGTGACATGCCTCTTCGTTAGCCTACAAGATGGTATTGGGTATGTTGACATGTAAGAATAAAAGCCAGGGGCTGGAGAGATGGCTCAGAGGTTAAGAGCGCTGACTGTTCTTCCAGAGGTCCTGAGTTCGATTCCCAGCAACCACGTGGTGGCTCACAACCTTCTGTAATGAGATCTGGTGCCCTCTTCTGGCCTGCAGCATACATGCAGGGAAAACGTATACATAATTATTAAATAAATCTTTTTTTTTAAAAAAAGAATAAAAGCCAGTTACTAACTGAGAACATTGTCAGGAATTGGATAACCACAACTGTCAGAAAAAAGAAGCTTTTAAAGGCTACTAGATGGAACCTGACCTAAGAGCATAACCACCAATTACTGCTGAGATATATTGTGGCAACTTGCTCTTGGAAAAAGCTTTATGACAATGGTACTTTAGGCCTAATGGAAATTGTTTCTTTTCTTACTCTAGATGGGCAGATATTGTCACTGATCTAAACACTCAAAATCCAGAATTCTTAGATATCCGCCATCTGGAGAGAGGGCTGCAGTTCCGGAAAACAAAGAAGGTAAGAACACCACTACATTGGCAGCCGCGTCCCAAATGACCAAAATGTGGTGTTTTATTAATACTCTTGAAGTGGTAAATACCGGAAACCAACTTCAGACTACCTTAGTCAGAAGAGTAAGACTTATTTTAAGGATACAGGCGAACTTTCAACTGTAGGCCAAGGAGGACAGTCATAAGGAAATGTCACCCAGTACTGCAATAATGGTAGAAGCCAAGTGGCTCATGATATTAATCATTCTTATGTAGGCTATGCTGTGCTCACAGTGTTTTATTTATTTATTTATTTATTTATTTATTTATTTATTTATTTATTTATTATGTACACACTATTCTGTCTGTGTGTGCCTGAAGGCCAGAAGAGGGCACTAGACCTCATTACAGATGGTTGTGGGCCACCATGTGGTTGCTGGGAATTGAACTCAGGACCTTTGGAAGAGCAGGCAATGCTCTTAACCTCTGAGCCATCTCTCCAGCCCACAGTGTTTTATTTAAATATGCCTTTCTTGCAGACTAACTTTCAATTTATGACTTATTTTCAGGTCTAGCTGGAGCCTTATCTGCCTTGGTTGAGTTCAGTGGTCTTGGCCCAGCTTGGGTAGATGATGGTCACCAGGCAGAGCCATATAAACAAATATGACTGCAGGAAGAAGCTTTCAGAAACAGATGTAGTACAGACTGAGTGGGCATTCTTTTGTCCTAAACCTGTTGATAAAAGAATTAATGAAGCTGGGTTTGGTCGCACATGCTGGGAATCTCAGTTCTTAGATAGAAGGAGGACGGTGATTTCCGTGCCAGTCTGAGCTATAGAGATTGTGTCTCAAAAATCTGTCTGTACACACACACACACACACACACACACACACACACACACACACACACACACGAGGGAGTAGAATGAGTTTTTCACAGAGGAGAGAGAGCACACACAGAGAAAAGGCTAAGGCATGCCTTAGTGTGTGAGTGAGGCGTAGGAGCCCATAACTACACTGAGTCAAAGCTGTGGAGAGGAGTACTCTGGTCCCTGAGGACTTTGTTAATTGGGAAGGCAGCTGGCAGGAAAGGTCTGTTATTGGTTGCTTAACTCTTGGCAGGCCTGCCGCCCAGCTCTCAGATAAATCACACACGGAGAGACTTACTCTTACTGATCAACGCCTGGCCTTAGCTTGGCTTATTTCTAGCCGGATTTTCTTAATTTAAATAATCCCATCTACAATTTGCTTCTAGGGTTTTTTTCCTTTTCTTACTTATGTATACCTTACTGTCACTCTTACTTTGTGAGTGGCTTAGTGGCTGGCCCCTGACATCCTCCTCTCTCTGTTGTCTTGCTCCTTTTTCCAGATTTCTCCTCTTATTTACTCTGTCTGCCTGCCAGCCCCACCTATCCATTCTCCTGCCCTGCTATTGGCTGGTTAGGCAGGCAAAGAATCACAGCTGCACAGAGTTAAACAAATGCAGCAGAAACAAAAGCAACACGTCTTTCCACTGTTAAGCGAATGTTCCAGAGCATAAATAAATGTAGCACCTTAAAATAATACTCCACAACAAAGGTGCGTGTGTTAGCGTGCTCTGATGAGTGCAGAATAGGAAAGCGTATTCAGACATGGGAAAGAATAACCCCCTCCCCCAAGGGAGTTAATAAGGACCCCACAAACTTATCAGTAGTGTCTCTTTCTTATCTTCATCCGTTTTTTGTCCTTCTCAGGTGGGAGGAAATTTGCATTGCCTCATAGCATTCCAGAGACTCAGTTGGCAAAGATTTGGCTTTTGGAACTTTCCATTTGGGACCATTAGACAAGAATCACAGCCTCCTCCACATGCCCAAGGACTTGCCAAATCGGAGAGTGAAGACAATATCTCCAAGAAGCCGCATGGGCGTCTGGGAAGATCCTTCAGTGCTAGTTTCCACCAGGACTCGGCGTGGAAGAAGATGTCTAGCATCCACGAAAGAAGGAACAGTGGCTACCACAGCTACAGTGATTACAATGGCAACGACTGAGCATGCTGGGAACCGAACCACTGGCTCAGTGCTTCAGTCTCGTACACTGCTGCTATGTGCAGGACTGCATTAAGGCCGAAGATTTTATTAAGTCCATCGATAGGACCAGATCTTGTGATACAAAGTATAACCTGTAGTTCTCCAGTAAATAAGCTTACATAGTGTTACAACGGTTGGCTTCAAATACATAGGCAGGTAAGCACAGATTACTGCCCTTTGAAAGTAGATAAGCCATCTGGACAAAGGGTTTCGCCAAAATCCAATAAACTCACAACTGCTTCGGAAAAAAAACCCCAAATGCATTTAACGGCATCAAGACTTGAACTACTAAAGCATGAAGCGATTTCTTGAAACTTGATCCGTAATCACGTATTACAGATACTTTGATTCCTAAGATCAATTTGCAAGGCACTGTCTGCCCTTGAGAATGGGGGCTGTTAAGTTCTAGCTTTTGCTCATGTTAAAGCTCATTTGGAACTATCTGGCCAGTCTAGTTGTTCTTTTGATGCTAGCAGAATCCACCGCACCTCTTAGCTTTCCTGGATAACTAACTGTCTCAGGATTCTCTACACAGAAACAGAAAATCCTCAAGAAACTGACCTTTCTCCAGGTGCGGATGGGTGATTTAGGGCATCGATTCTGGTACTCTTGGTCTGGCACACGTCTGTGAAATAGTTACAAGAAGCGTAGGACCTTGAACGGTGTCTTCAGGTCTAGAACAAACTTGTTTTCGGGATATAGTTAAGGGGCATTTGGAATCTATATCCATGGAATAAGTGCAGTGAGGTCTGATATTTGGTCTCTTAATGGAGGCGTGTGCTAGCAATGGCACTGAGGACACATTGGCAATGTCCAGCTCACCCTGAGGACAACACTCTGTATTCTCAACACTGAGCTGTTTCCTTTCGCGAAACATCCAGACAATTAGTTGCTGGAAGTGTGTATTAAATATTTCAGAAGTGTGAATTCAATACTTGAGCTCCTCTTTAGCTGCTGTCGTGTTTCTTTTGCTGCCAGTGTGCGACTCATAGACGTCTAGGGTCTTGTTCCTTCATGTAATTTCCTCATTCCAGGACTCAACTCAGCATCTCCGTGATTGCAAGGTGCTGAGGATGGTGGAACCATATTGCAATACACCTCAAGGGGAGGTTTCAGATTTTTATTTTTAAAAATCTTTCATTTCTTTTCTCTTGAATTTTATATCCATCTATCCACTCTTACACGTCTAGCCTACAGAGAGTGATATATATATATTACAAAATGGTCATATTTCTGAAGAGATTATTTAGCTTGAAATGCAAAGGACTGAAAGATTTGTAGGTTGTCGTTTTTGTTTCAGCTTTGTTGAGAAGTTCATACTGGAACTTTTAAAATGTTTTCATCAAATAAAGTTTTGTTTTCTACTTTTAATCATGCGCGTGTTAGACTTGGTGTCTTCAGACATATCCTTGTATCTGTATGAAGCATATGATAATTTGTTGATTCTGTGTAATTGATGTTATAAGAAACATCTTGAAATTTTTAGAATCAATGACACAATGTGGAAGGTGGTGACTTCTAGTCCATACTTCTTATTTCTCAGGTACCTGGGCACCGTTTCTCTGATACTTCATAGCAGGGAATGGAAAATTTCTCATATTAGTTTGAACAAGATGAGGTTGCAATTTTTGCAGATCAAGTGTCTTTTTAATGTAAGCTGCTTTTTAATCGTTCAGTTGAGTATTTCAAAGAAATGGGTTTGAAGAACCAAGAGGAAAGGATACAAATGCAAAATAAAATATAAACCTTAAGAACAAAGGGAAATCTGGAAAGCCGGGAAGTGCTTATTTACTGCATACTGATCATATGCTTTATAAAAACCAACGGACACATGACCACTTAAAACTTCAGCTCAGAGGGCTGGAGAGATGGCTCAGTGGTTAAGAGCATTGCCTGCTCTTCCAAAGGTTCAATTCCCAGCAACCACATGGTGGCTCACAACCATCTGTAAAGAGGTCTGGTGCCCTCTTCTGGCCTGCACACATGCACACAGACAGAATATTGTATACATAATAAATAAATATTAAAAAAAATAAAATACTTCAGCTCACAAATTTGAAAGTGACTTAGAGCACAGTAACGTTTGGTTTCATCGCGGGAGCTTTGTAGGTTATGTAGGTAAGAGTTCTTCATGATTCTCTTTGCAAATTAGTAATATTCTTGCCCTATGTGATTTCTTAGTCAACTCTTAGGACTCTTCATAGATCTTCTAATGGATACCAACTGGCTCTGAAATTGCTGTTGTCTCATCTGTGAGATTATGTCCTCCTTGAAAGTGTTTTTCAAGAACAAATATGCTACTGTGTATGGTATTTAGAATTATGGTTGGAAGACAGGAAAGCTATTTAAGTGTTCATTATAGTTATTATTTTGAAAATGTGTTTTGATTGAGTAGTTTATAGAGCCCATTGAACCTTGAAAAGAGCAGATACCTTTTATGTCAAATATATCCTCCTTGGTTGCTATTACTTCAAAAGCATTTCCTATTTAAAACATTGCTTTGGCTTTAAAAGCATGCCTAATACTCAAATGGGGACACTGGCTCTTTGTAAAAACAAAGAGCTCTCGAAACTTAAAAAAAAAAATCCAGTAACTATTCCTCTATCCACGACCACTCGAGTTACAGTGCCAGTGTATCATATTCAGCCGGTGTAGCAGCTCTAATGTTCCCAAGTTGCTTTGTTCCGTACATGGAATGAGCTCAGGCAACTGCTCCGAGATCTATGATATTATTTAACTCGGTCTCACTCTTTACATTTCTACTCTGCTAACTTTCCAGTTATAATAGCAATAATAGTAGTAATAATAATACCCCTAATCGTAATGCCATCTTAATGAGTTTGTGTTTTAAAATAAAATCCCCAAAACTGAGTTTCTTAAAAACAGATTTCTTTCCTCACAGTTCTGTAGATCAAGACAGGGTCTTGGAGAGTTTGTTTCTTGTCTCTTAGACTTGTGGGTGTTCACCCTTTTGTGTTCCAACTCCCTCTTACAAGGATAGCAATCATACTGGACTAGATGCTACTGATTGTGTGTGTGTGTGTGTAAACAGGAATCAGATCCATAGACTCAAATATGTCTGCATGTTTGTGATCTATCATTTATCATGGCTATGTTAGACACAGAAATGGTTTCTAAGTTCTAGTTCCTGTACTCTTTGGCCCCTAATGGCCTCACTGTTAAAGAAATTCACCTTCTAGAAATCACTCTGGATAAAAGCACGTGTTGAAGTACTTGGAACTATGTATCCAACACGTGAATTTTGTCCTGAATACGTGGTAATTCTATGGTCCAGATAAGATCTGAACTAACATCTGCCTGACCTCTAATCCAAATACCACAGGACGCAAAATGCCCTGAAGACCTTTAGACAGGAGACTGGAGAGGTTCTTTAGGCAACACTTACGAACTCTGCTATGTGCTCCAAGTACCAGGTGTAAAAGTTATCAAGACTGATACTGATTTCAACAAATTTATAGTCTCTTGTTGGAGGTAATTAAAACTAAACAGGCAATTATATTGCCCTCAGTATAATACAACTATACTAAAATACAAAAATTCATAATTTTACACATTGAGGAAATGCTAAAAGCCCAGTGGGAAATAAGCTGAGTCTAAGACAAATAAATATGGCTATTATAAATCATCTCTTTGGACATAGATATGTTTTGCTGAAACCTGATTCCTGATAAGATTTCTGCAAATGGTTCTTGTAAGAAATTATCTGTTTCTATCCGTCCCCCCGCCATTTTTTTTTCTTGGACAAGCCCTTTGTAGGTTTTGAATTTATGCTATCTCTGCCTGTCTCCCAGATGTTTATGACACTATGCCTGGCCATGTGCCCTTTCATATCAAGATTATTACTGGGATTGAATGTAATTTCGATACTGTACATCAGATTTGAACAACTGTATGCTAAATGCCAAGTACTTTGCACACATGACCTCTGATCCATAAAATCCTGCTCACGGACGACAGAGGAGACGTTCTGAAGAAACGTGATCTCTGCAGAGCTAATCAATCACCTTAAGGCTCAAGGCTGAATTTAAGTTAGCAGAAGCGTGGCGGGTCCTTCGTGGAACTTACTCCGCCCAAATTCATTTCTGACCACAAGCTGTGGGAACTCGAAGTTTCAGATGCTGCGGGTAATTCAATGGCACCTAGTTACTGCTTGTTGTGCAAACATTTACCTTTAAGAACATCAAGGAAACATCTATCCTTCTTTTCTAGTCTAACCCAATCCTTAGCATCAAGTCTGCAAAGCTAGATGGACCACGGAGGCACTGAAATTGAAGACGCCCAAAGGGACTCCACTGAAAAAAAAAGCCAACGTGCAATTGTCTTTTACGCCTAACAGACGGCCGAACAGATGCAGCGAATTAACAATTGGTTCCAATTCTGCACCGGCATCCCTAGCGCTCTGGCTCAGGATTTATACGTCACGAGTCAACACGGGACTCCCAACCGTCGCGTTCCCTTAGACGGAAGCCTAGAGGCTTCAGTTCGCGTGGGTCTTGCACGTCCTCGGGTGGGGTGGGGGGGTGGGAGCATCTAGCGCACCAGGAGGGACGTTTGGCGGCTTGCGTCGCCCGCGCCGCTCCTCACTTTTTGGGCTGAAGTGTCCCCGCTCCTCCCACTGCATCCCCGTGCCATGGTGAAGCCGCGCATTTCTGCTGGGAGGCCAGGTCCTCCCCGGAAGTGTCCCAGCGCGTCCGCGTCGCGGCGAGTTCCGGCTGCAGGGAGATGGGCTGCGCTGGAGCGGAGCAGGGCGCCCTGTGCCTGCGCCTGCGCTTGGCGCGCCCGTCTCTAAGTTAAGCAAAGGTCCTGCAGCATGGGAGTCCAGGGGCTGTGGAAGCTGCTGGAGTGCTCCGGCCGCCGGGTCAGCCCGGAGGCGCTGGAGGGCAAGGTGCTGGCCGTGGGTATCCTTCAGGCGGAGCGCTGGCGCGCGCGGGCCGGGTCACTGCAGGAGGGCTGGGCTCCTGGGGGGGGGGCGGGCATTGCTCGGGTGTCTGCCTGTCCAGCTTGCAGCCCCGCTCTCCTCATTTTAGGGTCAGTCTGTGCCTCCTGTGCTTCGGTGCTCCCTGCAGAGTAGGTACACGGTTGCCTTGGAGAATCGGGAGATGTAAAGGATGAAGTTAGTTGGAAGAGCGCCGTTAAGTTTAGAAGTTATTTTTGTGCGGGGCGGGAGGTCAGCGTGGAGAGACTTCCGATCTCCCGTTCTTTTGCTTAGTCAACTCGTCTTTTGGAATGAAAAATGAATGTGGTGCATAGTGAATTAGGTTCCTTCAGCCCCCGTCGTGTTTCCGTGTATGTTTAGCTGGTTTTGTGTCGCTGTAGTCTTGTTCTTTTTTTCACACTTTGGAAATGTCATTTTGAAGTTTTCGTTTGCCTTTTCCACGACTCCTTTGACAGTGCCTCTTTTATCTCAGAAGCTGGAGGTACCATTACACTATTTTCTTAATGAGAACTAGACTTGTAAACAAATTGCTGGGCGCGCGCGCGTGCGTGTGTGTAGGTGAGGCATGTCAAGTCATTCTGTAAAGTGCAGCAAAGAAGCCATTATCCGATGAGCCAGTTCTTTACTGTGTGCCCAGCTTATAATTAACGGAGAACATGTAATATTGGAAGGATAACGTTTTATGTCAAATACACCAGTAACAAAATTTAATAAAACACTCTTACAAGTTTTTACCTAGGCGACAGGAAGTTGTGTAACTTGAAGAACTTTGTAAAACACATGTGCTCTGTCGCACCCTGGTGGTTTCTCGGTATCACTGCAGTTTAAGGATATTTGAATTATTAGTGAACGAAAGGGCAATTTGTAGTGAGGGGGAATTCTTAAATTCTTACCGAGGGTTTCACCTTATAGTGGTAGAGCGCTTTCTTAGGATGTGTGAGGCCCCATAGTTCCTTGCCCGTTATTGAGAAAAAAGTACTACTGGTCACGCCATCAAGGATTTTCTGTTCCAGCCCCTGTAAAGGATTAGGAAGTTCAGCATCCTAACATTCAGGGATGTCAGAGGAAAAGCAAACTGGGTAAATTACCTGTAAAATGGCTGAGTTCCATTCAGGATGTGAAGTCATTTTTGTGAGGTTATTAAGCTTTTCTGAAAGAACGGGTCTTTTATCTAAAGAAAATTGAGAAAGATTCTGCATACAATCACATATGTGTATGTTCATAATATGATTACTTTTGTAATTTTTTTTATATTTTACCATGAGAATTCTGATACCTGAAATTTAGGTGTTATTGGTTTGGTAATAAAGAACTCATCCACGGTTATCTTAGGTTTGTAATTTACGTACTCTTCCAAATAAATTGGGTTTTGGACCACGTGGATAGCTGAATGTCTTATTTAAACAGTTTATGTCTGGGTTAAAAATGAAGAAACAACAGTTTAGTTTTTTCCATTATAGACCGTACCATCCATTAATGCATTGCTTGTACTGGGGAGGTAATGCCCCCTCTGAACACATACCTATCTGGATTAACTTAGTCTTCAGTCACCTAACTTCAGGACTAAAGAGAATTCCCTTTTGTTCTCAAATGTCATTGGGTCTTTGAGTTTCAACTCTAAAGCGAGTTTTGGCTTTGCTTCAGATTTAAGTAAGCACTTGCCCTTGGGGAATGTAAATTTGTTCCCCGTGTGTTGAAGTTTAATGAATCAAATTGTGAAAATACTTTTGGCCTGTCTGATTTTTATGTGATTGTTTTTCACCGAGAATTTTATGTGGGGGACTTTCAGCCCTCCGGGAGAAATGGTAAGCCACAGCTAGTTTACACGTGGAAAGGGATCACTTCCGTGAGGTTTAGCGTTTCAGGAGTAAGGGTGTGGATCTGCCTATGACTTTAAGATTCAGAGTGTGGAAAGTAATAAGGAACTAAAGAAAAGCTAGCCGGCTTTGGGTAGATTCTGTCATGGCCAGGTAGCATCCAGCTTCCTTAAGTGGTGAGATATGTTTAACGTTCTCTGTTTGTTGCTATCGTGTCTTGGATACTGAAAGTCTGAGGATGAGGCTGGAAATCCCATACTGTTTCCCTTTACCGGTTCTCCCAGATATTAGCATTTGGCTGAACCAAGCACTTAAAGGAGCCCGAGACCGCCATGGGAATGCGATAGAAAACGCCCATCTCCTCACATTGTTCCACCGGCTCTGCAAGCTGTTATTTTTTCGTATTCGCCCTATTTTTGTATTTGATGGAGATGCTCCGCTGCTAAAGAAACAGACCTTGGTAAATATCATCTCATTTTATTTTCTCTTTCGACACCGTTAGCAATTTTTTTTTTATATTAAATTCAGTTACAGCATTTCTCCCTTCCCTTTCTGCTCTCCAAACCCTCTTATGTATCCCTCCCCAACCTTCAGATTCATTTTTCTCCTCATTATTATTGCATGTTTTTATGTATATGCACCTATATTCCTAACTGTAACAACTTGTTCCGTCCGGGGCTGGAGAGATGGCTCAGCGGTTCAGAGCATTGCCTGCTCTTCCAAAGGTCCTGAGTTCAATTCCCGGCAACCACATGGTGGCTCACAACCATCTGTAATGAGGTCTGGCGCCCTCTTCTGGTGTGCAGACATACACACAGACAGAATATTGTATACATAATAAATAAATAAATATTTAAAAAAATAAAAAGATTTAATTCTGTATGCATTGGTATTTTAAAAAAAACAAAACAAAACTTGTTCCGTCCTTATAAGGCTGCCTGCATGTATTCCTCATTTATTTATTTGTTCATATGTTTGATTTATTTTTGCTTTTTGAGACAGGGGTTCTCTCTGTTGCCCTGGCTGTTCCGGAACTCACTCTATAGACCAGGCTGGCCTCGAACCCAGAGATCCACTTGCTTCTGCCTTCTGAGTGCTAGGGATTAAAAGTGTGCACCACCACTATATGTTTTCAGTGAGCAGTTTTGACTTGTAATCAGTGTAATTTCAATTGCTTTTAAAAATTTATGCTTAACCGTTTTGTAATTTAGTTTGATTTTCTTTTTCTCTTTTCTTTTTTGCGACAGGCTCTCTCTATGTAGCCTCAGCTGACCTGGAACTCCGTATATATACAATATATATATTGTATATATATATATATATATATACATATATACATAGTATAGTTGCATAGTTCTGCCATTGTCCTAAGTACTGGGATAAAAGGCATGCAGTACTGTGCCAGGCTTGTAACAGTTTGTCTTTACAATATTTATGAGAGGTTATTATATATGTTAGGATCAAACTTACCTATTAACTGAAACTACTCAAATTCTTAAGTAGTTTCTGTAGGGTATCTCTTTAGGTGGTCCACATTTTGTCTGGCTGGGCTACTCTTGCTCGCTGTGGACCCTTACTTAAGAGATGTCTCCTTTAGAGTGTGATTGCGTGTCCTTGGCGACAGGAAAACAAAGCAAACAAGCAAACAAAAAAACTACGTTCAGAACAACAACAGTAAAAGTGCTCTGGTCCGGGTGATCCTCAAATGCCTTCTCAGTGAAATTGTCTACTTAGCTCAACATTTATTAGAATGCTTTTATATATGCTAAGGATTTTTTTCTAATATAGTCCTGCATTTGTGTGTGGGGGCAGAGGTATGTACAAATCATTTCTTAAAACAGTATCAAATTGATTTTGTGATAATTTTTTATAAAGGCTTAGATTCTTGGTGGTATTGAAATTTATTTATAAGAAACTGACAATAAGCTAGTAACTCCTCAGATGTGCTACATAGGTGACCTTTAGACAGGTGCTCTGTGCGTTCCTGTCCGGCACAGAACTTGAAGATGCTCGTTGACCGAAGTGAGGAGGAAGCCCTGGAACAGCCATTGTCCTACGTTCAGATCCTGAAAGGTTTTTAGTGGCCCCACGTCTGAAGTGAAATCCCACACGCTTCATTTGTTTACAGGCCAAGAGAAGGCAGAGGAAGGATTCCGCATCCACCGACTCGCGAAGGACCACAGAGAAGCTCCTGAAGACATTTCTGAAGAGACAGGCTCTGCAAACTGCCTTCAGAAGGAAAAGGCAAGAGGAGTGTGCTGTGCACCCTCCCTGGCATCTGCTGTCCTCTCTCCTTTGTCTCCTCACAACAGGAAGAGTCAGGGGAGCAACGAGTGGAGAGCTTCAGACCTGGGGGTGTGGGATTGTGGCTAACGAGAGAGAAAAGCTATTGTATTTCCTCCTCCTTTAATTAATTAATTAGATTTGTATTTTTTAAGAGTTGCAGGGATTGGAACTCAGGGCCTCATGGAGTTCCCTGCAACCTGACTTTACTGTGATAGGCCCCTTTCTGACTGGAGCTGAGGCTGTGGAAAAGGCTCTGAGGAGCCCTGGCCAGTTCCCCTTTTCCTCCACATGGTTCTTAGTTATAACAGTAATGGCTTGGGGGAGATGCAGGCCAGGAGAAGACAGCCAGATGAAGCGGGGTAAAGCACTGTCCTTGAGCAGGGTTTGTGCAGCCGGCAGGAGGAGATGGTTGACTAAAAAATGCTTTTCATATGATTTTTGTTGAAAACTAACTGCATGTGCTTTTCAGAAATGAAGCCCTACCCAGTCTTACTTGAGTTCAAAGAGAGGACATCTATGCTTTGCCACCTTTACAGGAGGAAGAAAAACACAGGTAAATGTTCGTCTACTAAGGAGAATCTCTTTAGGGGCTGGGGAGGCGGCTCAGTTAGTGAAGGGGCTTGCCCCTCAAGTGTGAGGACCCATTCTACCCATCACACCCACATAAAAACGTGGGCAGACTGGTAGCGAATGCCTGGAATCTCAGCGTCAGGGAAACCAGGAGGTTTCCCTGACCAATAATTTATAGGGAGTTATAAATTATTGTAACACCTTCTAGGATCAGGGCATATCCATGCAGAATATCTGTTCAAATTCCCCTTTTCAAGATTACATATTTAAACTGACTTACCAACTACTGGGTTTTCATCTGATTTTTTTGTGTATGCTTTTGGTTATTCCTGATCTCTCTCCTTGCTCTTCCTCTATACATGCCTAAACCTTTAGCCTTCTCTCTGTATATCATTTCTTTCTCTACATAGCTGGCGTCACTCTCTGGCATCTCAGTAGCACCCAACCTTTTTTCTGTCTCATCTTTGACCTCGTACTTTTGCCCCACTCCCAGCACAGTCTGCTGTGTCTTCTACAATTTATTTAAAGCCAAATTCTGATATTGATATTGTCATTTTCTATAAAACTTCATAATATATTTTTCTTTTTTTTTTTTCCCTAAATGACAAATTCTCAGCGTAGTATCCTAGTCTGACCGGAATTTGCTCTGTAGTTCAGAGTGACCTTGAATTTATAACCTTCCTGCTGCACTCAGGCCCATCACCACTCCTAGCCTACCTTGTTGTTTCAAGATAAACTTTCAGCCCTTTAATCACTTTTTCCAGCCTCGTCTCCTGGTCTCCTCTCCGTTATAGGCAGAATTTTCTTGCCTTTTTTCCAGATGACTGCAGAACTCAGTTCATGTTCCTCGCATGTGCTTCCTTTGTACCCTGCATTGGAGTCCTTTGCTTATCCATAGCAGATCCACCAATGTGATTGTAGGAGGTTCTGGAAAACTTCATGACTGTCTGTACTAGCTTCTTTTCTCTTCTCTTCTCTTCTCTTCTCTTCTCTTCTCTTCTCTTCTCTTCTCTTCTCTTCTCTTCTCTTCTCTTTTCTTTTGGTTTTTCGAGACAGGGTTTCTCTGTAGCTTTGGAGCCTGTCCTGGAACTAGCTCTTGTAGACCAGGTTGGTCTCGAACTCACAGAGATCCGCCTGCCTCTGCCTCCTGAGTGTTGGGATTAAAGGTGTGAGCCACCACCCACCCGGCTTGTACTAGCTACTTTTTTATTGCTGTGATAAGATATCATGATCAAGACAACTGATGAAAGAAACTTTTTTTTGTTGTTGTTTATTTTATTTGACACAGTGTGGAACCTGTCCTAGAACTCACTGCTCTGTAGACCAGGCTGACCTTGAACTCACAGAGATCTGCCTGCCTCTGCCTCCTGAGTGCTGGGATTAAAGGCCACCACTGCCCGGCTAAAAGAAACTGTTTAATTGGGCATATGGTTTGAGAGGGTTAGAGTCTGTTATGGCGGAATGAAGGCATGGCAGCAGAAACAGCTGGTAACTCACATCTGGAACCCTATTGGACAGCATAGCCTATACTGGACATGGTGGGAGGATTTGAGGCCTCAAAGCCTGACTCTTGTGACACGCCTCCTCCCACAAGGCCACACCTCTTTCCCAAGTACTTGCATCCAAGTTGGTACCAAATGTTCAGGCTTATGAGCTTGTGAAAGTTATTCTTATTCAAACCGCCACACTGCCTGAGGTTTTTTTTAGGCAATTTACTCCTTAACTTAGCTCTACCAACTTTCTGCTCCTTATGGAGGGAGTTAGGATTTCATATTGCAGTTGCTTACTTGTGTGTGTTCCCCATTAGGTAGTGAGATCCTAGGGTCACAGCCTACCCATCCCATTCGCTATTGTAGACCTCGATCTCAAGAAGCGTGCTTTTAAGTGTTTGTTAAAAATCACAGGTGTTAAAAGTGTTTTCTTGACTGCAGTTCAGAAGAGGAAGATGAAAAGCAGTGGCGAGAAAGAATGGATCAAAAGCAAGCTTTGCAGGTACATAACGGGAATTCAGAACGTGTTTCATTATTTGAAATGATGAACAGGATGGGTTTATGAACGTTCTCAATAAGGAGTAAACATAGCTGTCCCTTTAACTGCGTGTTTTTGATTGCATGTATGCATACATATATGTATATGTTTATATATGTATGTATGTCTGTGTAAAATCCACACTTACCCATGCATCCAGTGCATTTGTATATTGTATTTGGCATTATGTGTGTCTTTCTTTCTTCCTGGGGAGGTTTTGAGACAGGGTTTCTCTCTGTCGTCCTGGCTGCCCTGGACCTGACTATGTAGACCATGCTGGTATTGGACTCACAGAATCATGCCTGCCTCTGCCTCCCAAGTGCTACGATTAAAAACGTTACGGACAGCTGTGAGCTGCCATGTGGGTGCCGGGAATCGAACCCAGGCCCTCTGGAAGAGCAACCAGTGCTCTTAACCACTGAGACATCTCTCCAGCCCCCAAATTAATTTCTTTAACATGTTATTTTCTTAAAAAAAAAAAACAAGACAATAAACAAAAAGCTAATGTGGCTATAAAAATGGCTCTCATCCGCAAGTCTTGTTCTCGTTTCCGAATCCTTCTGCTTGTTCTTTTTCAATCTAGGCTTCCCACTCCCACCAGGTTCTTGGTATTGGAAAAATCCCTGCCCCAGACATCTCTCTGACAGGGTTTTCTCCATCTATCATGTAAGATTTTTCCCTGACTACTCTTAGCAGCTCAGCCTATTGGATGTTCTAACAGTTAACCTTGCTTACCTATTTTCTTGCTTACGTGCCTTGCTCTACTTGTAAGATTAGGGTTCGTATGTACACAGCCACCACAGTGTCCAGAGTCTTTGAGTGGGGCCTGGGTGGGGGGTCTGAGCGCCTGATAAGTGGTTTGCCTTGGAATGACTGAACAAATGAAGGGGCTTACCTGTTTGTGCACTGTGATGCCTGCTGCAAATGAATGCATGCTTCCGTGCGTAGATTATGGAGAGCTGTGTTTTATGATATAAACACAGTGTTCGTAGCAATGACGAGGCCTGAATGGGTAAATATTAACTTAATGAGGTTAACGTTTTACTTCCCACAGGAAGAATTCTTTCACAATCCTCAGGCCATCGACATCGAGTCTGAGGATTTCAGCAGCCTGCCCCCTGAAGTGAAGCATGAGATCTTAACTGACATGAAAGAGTTTACCAAGCGAAGGCGGACACTGTTTGAAGCAATGCCAGAGGTAAAACACCGCAGTAAACAGTAGCACACCAATGCGTAGAACGGAACTTCAGCAAGACTCCGAGAAGGGAAAATGGAGATGGTACTTAGAGCCAAAGTCTCCACTTTAGACAGTAGTCCAGTTTATCCGTTACAGCTCATAGATATTCAAAGAAGTCTTGGGGACTTTCTGTTCAAGACTAGGCCTTCTCTTCCGTGTGTTCTCAGCACCTTGTAACGTGGTGTTCTAGTCTCAGCACAGAACACGCCTGTCCTGATCGTGGCTACGCTCTCAGCAGGTACTTCCGTGTCTGACACAGTAAGTGCCCCGCCTGCTGTGGTTCGTGGGCCAATTCTTAGAAGTTACTTTAAACCGCAACATGCATTGCCGACAGAAAGTAATCATAAGACGGAAAGTACTTCCGATGTGACATTCCAGGTACAGGATTGTGTGTTCTCCTAGGGTGGCCTGAGCGTGGTGACTTCACAGTCGCAGGAAGCCGAGGCAGGTGTGGTGTGCCTGGTTGTGTGTTTTGTCCTGACAATGCTGGTGGTGATTACTAAGTTTATGCACCCACTGGGCACCCGCTGTCTTTAGTTTCGCATGTGTGAGTTCTGTTTTCCTTCCTTTTGGCGCCCCCTGCTGTGGACTGAAAGTTCTCAGTGTTGATGTCATGGTTTTATTATGATTTTTTTACTTGCTGTTGACTTTAGAATGCTTGTTACTCTGGTTTCAAAAAGATGAAAAAAAGGATTTATCTCTTATTTCTGATTTTCTATGCAGTTTGTGCAGTAAGAAAATAAGGTGCACAGAAATTATATTATTAGGATTTTCGTACAAGGAAGTTTATTTTTATTCCAAGGGGAAAGCAATCCAGACTCTATCTATCTTTCAGGCATGTGCTTTGAGGGGTTGTGAGGAATCTCTGAGTGTGACTCAGAAATAAGATTTGAGTGGAATGAGAAGGAAAGGAGAAAGACAGCCCCTCATGGTTTTCTCTTTTTCTCCTTGAAACCACGCTGTTGCTAGATCATGCTAAGCCATGCTGGAAGGCTAGGGTGGCTTCATGAGAAGACAAATTTCAAGTAGTCCAGGATGGACCTTGGGGCGACTTATCGATTGTGCCCTTGTGGTATTCACAATAGAAGATCCATGTCCTGGTTGCAGGGATAATGAGACTCATAATGTATTCAGTTGTGTAAGCCACTGGCTGAGGTCTCCATGTGAGTCTGGCGTTGAAGTCTCAAGTCCGTCACTTACAGACTGGAGATAGAAAAATGTCTCATTGGCTGTCTGGGAGAATAGATCAAGGTAGTTTGTATAAAAGAATGTCCTCATTGGAAAAAGCTTTATACTTGTTAATTATGGTGATTAAACCCTCGGTTGCTTTATTCTTTGTCGTTTGGGGACCAGGGACAGGGCTAGTGCTAGGCACTTCATTTGTATCTAGAAGATTGTGTTTCGCTGAGCCACCATCACACGCCATACCACAGCCATGTAGTCTAGCTCAGCAAATGGTTTTTGAGTGAATGATTAAGTAATAAAAAGATCCTTTATAATTCTTTTGCTTAATTCTTTTTGTTTCAAAGAATTTTTCTCTTTTCCTTTTCTTTTTCCTTCCTTCCTTCTTTCCTTTCTTTCTTTTTTTTTTTTGTTTTTTGTTTGAGGCAGTGTTTCTCTGTGTATCTCTGGCTGTCCTGGAACTCACTCTATAGACCAGGCTGGCCTCGAACTCACAGAGATCCACCTTCCTCTGCCTCTCTCAGTGCTGGGATTAAAGGTGTGCATCACCACCGCTGTTACAATTCCATGTGGGCTAATCACATTACTTGGGAGGCAGAGACAGGAGTATTGCTACAATTTCAGGGCCAGCTTGGGCTATATAGTAAGTTCCAAAAACTTGGGCTATTTATTGAGCAACTGTCTCAAAAGCAAACAAAGGATAAAGAAAAACAAAAAGCAAAGGAAGTTACCCCTGGAATCCCACCTTGGTTTTCAAGTTTTATTTTTCTGCTAAGAGGCCGTACCTTTTGGGGATGGGTTGGTGCGTGGTGGTGTTACCTGTGGAAAGCACCGATCTTGTTTATTTTATTCCCTAGGAGTCTAATGATTTTTCGCAGTACCAGCTGAAAGGCCTGCTTAAGAAGAACTACCTAAACCAGCACATAGAAAATGTCCAGAAGGAAATGAACCAGCAGCACTCAGGGCAAATCCAGAGGCAGTACGAAGATGAGGGGGGCTTTCTGAAGGAGGTGGAGTCAAGGAGAGTGGTCTCCGAAGACACCGCCCACTACATCTTGATAAAAGGTACCGGGCACCGTCATTGGCTGGACAGCTTCAAGCCATAGGGTAGGGATGCAGTTTGCTCCTGCCGCCATGCCGTCCCTGTCGTGATGACAGGCTGCATCCTGGGCCAGTCAGAGCAGATTCAGGGCATCTGAGGACTTGGATCAGGAGCACTGTGCTCTTCAGGCTCTTGGTAGGGCTTCTGCAGGTAGCTACGGCTGCTGTGTCTTATGGTTCTGATGGCCGTCCCATATCCAGAACATAGCATCTTGTAGTGTTCCTTTCCATCCTCAGGCCCCTACATTCTTCTTATCCCCACCCTCCCCCCTTTTGGGATGTGCTGTGTGCGTTTATGAAACATTTACGGCTGAGCACTCAGCAGTTGCTTGTCCCAGAATTCTGCACTGAGTGTCAACCCTCTTCGAGGAGGAGCTTCTCTGGTCCAGGCTGGCCACGACACTGGTTCTGAGGTACAAAGGTACGGGTTTGGGAAGCATTTGGATGACATGTTCAATTTGCAAAATAGCAGCCCTACAGTTTTTCCTAGGGCAGTGACCTCTCTAGCCATGAGTTTTGACTGGGTCATACAGTCTCAGACATGTCTTTCCTCCTATAGAGTGGGCCACAAATCCAGTTGAGTCGTATGTTGATTGACCCCAGAGTATTCTTGACACTGTTGCACTAACGGGCACATCTGGTCTGTCAGGTCAGAACTGTAGCACACAGTGTTCACCACCAGCAAAGACCTGAAATCTCCTCACTCCCAGCAGCCTGCCTAGTGCCTTTCAGTTCTGTGGTGGCTGGGTACCAGGAAGGAGGCTTCCAGCTCCTTTCCAACTTCTGCACCCTGTGTCCAGGGTGTGTAGTGTCATTTGCAATTGGATTAGAGCAGTAGCAATGGCCTATTCTATATTCTTCTGGGAGCTTCTCTGGGCTGTCTGGTCAGAGACCCATGGGGAGTAACTTGTCCTTGGCACTGGGATTTTCGATCAGTTCCCATGGCATCTAGGAGCAATCTTGTCAGCTCACACAGGGTGCTTCCATTCTTTTTTTTTTTAAATTGTGTTTTTTTTTTCATTTGTACAGTGGTTTTTGCATCTATCTTTGGTTTGGGTTGACCCTTCCCCCCTTACCATCTTCATCTTTCTTCTATTCTTTCCACTCCTTCCCTAATTAAACCTTTCTGTCCCTAGTATACCTCCTTTTCATATCGTAACTGAGAGAATGAAGTAATATAGTGAGCTTCAGTCTTGGTGTGATAGGGAAAACAAAAGTCAAAATCATGGGCTTTAGAAGCAGGCTTGCCTTGATGTCCAGTTCTGACTCTTGATTTGAGCTAGTGTCCTAAGCTCTGTGGGTCTTTGCTTTCATGCCAGGCACTTTGTATCTCTGATACAGTGTTTGTGGGCTGTGTCCCGTATGTGGTGGCTTCTGCTATTTATAAATTTATTATACACATTAGCTACGTAAGGTAGAGTTTTGGGATCATCGATGGTAGAATGTCTCTAATATTTCCTCAGACTTTTGACCATTTTTTTTTTGTTGTGATGGGTACAAATATAATATCTCCTTTTTTTTTCTTTTGGTTTATTTTTGCTTTTCTGTATAACTTTGGAGCCTGTCCTAGAACTTGTTCTATAGACCATACTGGCTTTTTTTTTTAATATTTATTTATTAATTTATTATGTATACAGTGTTCTGTCTGTGTGTATGCCTGCAGGCCAGAAGAGGGCACCAGACACCATTACAGATGGTTGTGAGCCACCATGTGGTTGCTGGGAATTGAACTCAGGACCTTTGGTAGAGCAGGCAATGCTCTTAACCTCTGAGCCATCTCTCCAGCCCGACCATACTGGCTTTGAACTCACAGTGATCCACTTGCCTCTGCCTCCCTATTAAAGGCTGGTGCTACCACCACCCGACTCTGTGTACTTTATTTTAAAAAGATGTGAGAAGTAATATGTTATATCAAAGTAATTTTTAAAATATGAAGTTAGCATTAGAAATATACAACAAGGAGCTTCAGAGTGGCTCAGCAGGTAAGCTCTCATCTTGCTCTCATCAGAGGAACCGGGTTCCAGGTCAACTACACAAGTGGCTCACAGGTGCCTGTAACTCCACCAAGGGGTCCAGCATTCTCTTCTGATTTCCCCAAGCACCCACACACGTAGGGCATTCATTTACACAAACACACACGCACACACATAAATTAAATAAAGAAATAAGTGAGTCACAGTTTCTAAAGCCAGGCTTAACTCTGAAGGCCGTCCCCCACTGCCTCCTTACCCCACCCTGTCAGAACTTTCAGCGACTCTGTCATGTATATTGGTTTTTCTATTGTTGCTTTTCCTTAGGGGTATTGGAATTTTTTTTTTCATTTCAGATTTTATGACAAAGAACTTAGTTTCAAAAGCATATTTGAATTTGCTAGTATTTAAAGTAATAGGGAGAAAGACCATTTTACAAATTTAAATCCACATGTATGAGCACTAATACCAGGATTTAGTTTTTTTCTATAGAAACAAATAAGAAATAACCTAAAATGGGATTTTGTTTTACGAAATAGATAAAAGTTTTTGTTTCACTTTTGGCTGTGTATTTTGGCAAAATAAAATTTTAAATTACAAAATAAAACGTTGTGTACTTTTTCGCCCTGAGGTCTGGGAAAAGACATCCATGATAAAGCCAGGGGAATCTTGGTTAGGTAGTAGCAATTATATTTATCACTAATGGGTTAGTTACTACAGAGCCAGCCACTTTAGAATTAGTGAACAGATTTAATCAAAATGTATCACAATATTTATGATCCAGGATTCTCTTGTTCATCTTCCCAGAAATACATCGCCACACTGTGAATTGCATGGTGAGAAATGTTTTAATTTCTCTCAGGTATTCAAGCTAAGAAAGTCACGGATGCGGATTCAGAGGCTTCTCCTTCCTCCAGCAGAGCGCACAGCACGTCCTTGGACCTGAAATCCTCACCCCAGGAGAAAGTGAAGCAGGAGAAAGAGCCAGAGGCCACACCTCCTTCTCCGAGGACTTTACTGGCGATGCAGGCAGCCATGCTGGGAAGTAGCTCAGAAGAGGAGCCCGAGAGTGGAGCGGGAAGGCAGCCTGGGGAGAGGAACCTGTGGGCCACGGCAGATGCAGGCTCCGTGTCCCCGCGTACCCTTGCGGCTATTCAGAAAGCCCTGGATGAGGACGAAGACGGGAAAGTGTGTGATGGGGGCGACGAGCGCACAGGAGGGACAGGGATGAGAGTGTTAGGCGATGACAAAGATGGAGAGGTATGCGCCGGGGGTGATGAGCCGGCAGTGCGAACACCGCCTGGAAACGGGCCCGACCAGGGGCCCAGTGACGGAGTTGTCGAGAGCCGCCGTGGTGGCACGCCGTTTGCCACAGTTCCTCCTGTACCCGCCGCGACCGCGGTGGAGGAGTGTGCGGCCAGCGGCGGCCGTGAGAAAGCACAGACCGCCTCCGCTCCTTCATGGGGTGCCGCTTGTCAGCACGCTGGTGGGTGCTATGCTCCAGGAGAACAAATGCCACTTACTCCTGTGGTGAAGGCAGCGTCCGAGAGAAGCAGTGAGGATGAGGTTGAGGGTAAGCAAGCTCCCCTCCCGTCAGCGTGCACGGAACTTCCATGCCTTGATGCTTCTGGGCTCCTCAGTGAAACGAAAGTAACTCTGGTACCCGCAGTGAGAACATATTCTGATCAGAGGCTGGACCTTGAAGGGCCCGAGCTGCAGGAAGGTCTCAACCCGCCCGAGGGGAAATGCGTTTCTTCTCGTTATTCAAGTGATGATGAAACGGAGTGCGCACAAGCCCCTGCTTCTAAACCATGCAGTACAGTTCACGTCCCTGCAGAGGCGACGGGTGACTTAGGAAAGGCATTGTCTTCCGACGAACGTGGCGATTCCCTGAAATCCATCGAGCAAGGGGAGATGATGCCTGAACCTGCTGCCAGGGAGTTGATTTCAGTCCCGGGGCCCACGGGACCAGTGGAGATGGAGTCGGAAGAGAGCGAGTCTGATGGTAGGTACTCCTTTAAGGGAACGGAGTGGGAGGGCTTCCTGTCTAGAGAGACCAGGAGACCCCGTAGTTCAGCCCTGTTTACAGCAGAGGAACCAGGGAAAAAGGAGAAATGAGCGTCCCAGGGTCACACAGCCAGGATGGGGATGCCTTGCTTTGCATCTTTAAGTTTTATTTTACATGTATGGATAGTTCACATATGCACGCAGTGCCCATGAAGGCCAGAAGGGGGCACCAGATCTTCTGGAATTGGAGTTACACAGGGTTTTGAGCGGCTCTGGTCACTGGGAAGCTTAATGCAGGATCTCTGCGAGAGCAGCCAATGTTGTCAACTGATGACTGGCCTGGCAGCCTCTGTCCTTGGGAAGGAGTGCCATGCTTGGGGAAAAGAAAGCTGAATTTCCTTTAGCTTTTGTTAACTTTCTACTCTGACAAACTTGCAAAAATTAAAAGACTTAAAAGCTGTCACAGACTAGCGACTGATTTCACACCTAACCTTAGAGGCCGGTATTTTGCCCCGTTTGTTTGTATGTTCCCTGTCTCTCTTTATCTTTGCTCCTTCTGCCCCTTCTCCCTCCTCTCCTCCTCTCCGTAACTCCCTCTCTCTGTCTCTCCCGTGCACTCTTTGTTTGCATATCTCTGTCTCTGTATTTTTGTGTACACTTGTGCGAGTGATCTTCATCATCTATAGCTTGTTTATTTGGGTAGTCGCTTCCTTGCTAAAATCTGACTCCAGAGTCAAAGGCATGTTGCTGTTTCTTTATGGGCATTTGCTGGGAGCACAGGTCTGAACTACCATGCCTGGCTCGATTTCTACATCTTAGTTTCTCTGTTTGTCAGTTAGCGGAAAGGAATCTGGGGCCTGTGAGAATATGCTGCACCCAGGCAAACTTCCTGCTGTGTGTTTCTGCATCCTCGACTGACCTCCGTCTGAGCAGAGGCCTACTGTGATAGTTGCCAAGTTTCGGTGACCAACTCCTTTGGGGTCTCATATTTTTCACAACTGTTTAGAAAGTTCTGATGACGTCAGAGTGACCCTGATGCTCTCATTGTAGATGAAGTGACATCATTCTATTTTGGACAGGAAGTTTCATTGAGGTACAGAGTGTGGTCAGTGATGGTGAACTTCGAACAGAGTCACTGGAGACTTCTAAATCTGACTCTGAACAAGATGAAGAGGAACCAAGCGGAACCCCGCAGGAAGGAACCTCCAGGGACACAGAACTCCAACAGGACAGCTCCGACAGCGAGGACGTGGCCAAAGGAGAGCACAGAAACGCCGACAGAGATGCTGAGAGCTCGCCTAATGAATGGCAAGATATTAATTTGGTAATCATGTAATACCATGTTTTAACTTAGTGCCGAGGATGCCAAGCCTGTGGCTTTTGAGATTTTAAGAGTTGCTGGATAAATGTTTACTAGCTGTTCTTAATTCATCTTCTTGTTACTCATAGTTCCCTTTTGAAATATTAATTGCGAGCCAGGCAGTGGGGGCGTAACGCCTTTAATCCCAGCACTGGCGATCTCTGTGAGTTCGAGGCCAGCCTGGTCTAGAAGAGCTAGTTCCAGGACAGGCTCCGAAGCTACAGAGAAACCCTATCTTGAAAAAAACAACAACAACAACAACAACAAAAAGAAAGAAATAAAAAGAAATGTTAGTTGCATCTGGGATGGATAGGTTTCTCATATGATATAGTGAGGAGCCCGAAAGGGACAGTCTTTCCTCGAAATCCCAAGAGGGAAACACTGTAAGGAGCAGCAGGTTACTGGTCATTTCCGCCAGAGGAAATGCAGGCTTTTTGTTTTCTTGCAACAAATGAACATAGCTGTATCGTCACTGTAATGATCTGTGAATGGGAGCATTTTTTATAGGAGGAACTGGACATCCTGGAGAGCAACCTCTTGGCAGAGCAGAACTCCCTGAACGCTCAAAAACAGCAGCAAGAACGGATCGCTGCCTCGGTCACAGGCCAGATGTTTCTGGAAAGTCAGGTGAGTGAATGTGACTCCAGGTTGGGCTTCTGTGACTCTGTGACTCGTCCTTCAGTGGGAAGGGCTGTGTGATAGCCTCACACCCCTTGTGGTCAAGGTCACCAGTGCATTTTCCCTGTGGGTGGTTTCTTTGACTACAGGAACTCCTGCGCCTGTTTGGCATCCCCTACATCCAGGCTCCCATGGAGGCAGAGGCGCAGTGTGCCATTCTTGACCTCACTGATCAGACTTCTGGGACCATCACTGACGATAGTGATATCTGGCTGTTTGGGGCCCGGCATGTCTATAAGAATTTCTTTAACAAAAACAAGTTTGTAGAGTACTACCAGTACGTGGACTTTCACAACCAGCTAGGTAAGATTCAGAGGGTGGTCACTTCCCACACTTCACCCGTCCTGAGTTGCCTCACGTGGTTTTTTTCTTCTGAAGGAACTAATTCGATGCATGAATGGAAATGTGAAATTATAGTATTTCAAAACTCGGATTTAAGAAGCTAAAATTCTAGTGTCTCTCTTGTAGTTAAATCATCTACAAGGTTAGTTGAGTTTCCTTACAGGGAATCAGAGATGCTCTCATAGGGCAGGGAATGGCGCCGTTGCTGCTTCTGATGTTGACCGCATGTCCGTCCATCTGTTCAGCTGGGAAATGCACACTGGTTGACTCTCATACGCCAGTCATCCTTGGCAGTGGGAAAAGGGCAGCGAATGACACAGTCTAGTGGAAGGAAAAGATGCTGGCCGTGTTTACAAGTCATCATGTGATGCTTGGTGTGCACATAGGGTAAAAGCAGAGGAAGAATGAGGAGGAGCTGCATGACGTTCCCACAGAGGTGCCCTCATGGAAGGCTCCTCGAGAAAATATAGTCAACAAAGATGATGTCCGAGGGACTTAAAGATTCAAGGCCCTGAGGCAGAAGATTGCTTATATACCTGTTCTAGGGAAGTAAGGAGGCCAATGGGAATGGGGAAGGAGGGTGATATCAATAGTTACATCAGTGAGCAGAAACTGAAGCCTCATAGTGTCTGGTGCAGCAGAGAAAACAGTGTTTGTGTCCTGCATGAGGGATGTGGGAAGAGGGCTTCTAGTTTCCCGTTTCTAGGCCGGTGGTAGAATGGAGCAGAGGAAGAGAGTGGAGTTGGGATGAGTTCATTCCGAGAGGCTCACGAGAGGCAGTTGTTAGTGGAATGCGTGTGCCTGTGGTCGGAGGGAGCAGGTCAGACAGCTAACGTAGAGGTGAGTATACATAGAGAACTTAAAACGAGAATGGTTAAAACTTGAAAATCTCAATATAATGATATCTAACAAAGGAAACTCTATTTAAATAAAACTGGTGTCTTTGCATATTGGTTTATCATACACAGTTTATAT